AGTTACGATGTTGTAGGAACATGCTGCAGAAAATTGATAGAGGAGGTCTGGTGCCCTTGATGTCTCTTCCCTCTACGCAAACACCACCCGCTGCCATCAGATCTACAGCATCCACCAAGCTACAACCCTAAATTTCAATTGGATTTAGGAGCAACTGGCAGTGACTGTCCTGAAAGTACCCCCAATGCCTCTAAGCTAAGCATTACAGTCGCACTCGGCAGTCGTTTCTTCTAGTCCTGTCCGCCAGCTCTGCAGCAGCCATGGGGCTGGGTGAAGTCTTAGCATTTACTCCCCTTCTGTAAATTTGCATGGTCTTGTGGCATTTCACCACAACTGCTTGGCTTGTACCACCGGTGCCTGATATTCCAGGGCTGGATATTCCAGTTCCTTGGTGATGGCTACAATTGTCTGCGAATCCATGCTATGAGCAGAAACTACCCTGAGACAGCACCGAGTTGTAATGCATAATGCAAACTAGTCGCATAACAACTTGAAGCCATGATTGACTTGGGTGGGATTTGATCTGGCATTTCCAGATGCAAGCAGGTGTGCATCTTCTGGCTCACACGGTCTCTCTCTTCCTGTCCTCGCTGTTCTGCTTTCAGCATTTGTTTGGAAAGCGGTGGGCCAGGATCCAGTTGTTTTCCTCCTGCGCCTCCTGCAAATGCAATTTTAAAATTGATTTGAAGTGAAATTGCATCTTTTATTGGACTGGTCTGTGACCTTTCAGTGTCGGAGCTAGCGTGGTTGCCAGTCTTTGGGGCTATTGTATGTGACAGGAGAGGGGTGGGGGGTGGCTGCGAAGGATAAGTGCAACCCTTTGCTTCTCTCTCGATGCCTGCTGCTGCGTTTGAAGTCTGCCCTGAGCACTGCATCATATTTTGTACTTAATCCTCCACCAAGGATCTCGATACTTTCTATAAATAATGACTAATCTATTTAATTATACCCCTGTGAGAGAGAGGAGGGAAATAGATCATTACACTTGTTTCAGTTCTGCTCTGGATAAATGAAGGACAGATACGGTACATCAAAGCAAATATTCTAAGATTATCCAAGACTATATGCTAGGAACTATAGATGCAATGAACCCTACTTCCATATTAATGAACAAGGCCGTCATGTTGAATCCTGTAGGCTACTATTAGGTTATTCCTGCTTTATTTTTTTTTTAAAGCATTGCTTCCCTTTTTTATAAGCTCATATGCTTGCATGCGTGTGCCTTATGTGTGCACACATACATGTATATCAGTCTCTGAAACTCTCATCCCATTTGCAGCCCTGCAATACGGATTTGCTGTGTTGCACGATGTCCAGCTTAGTTGTGTATAGCACATGCCACCAAATAGGCTGTATCGGTATAGAATATATATTTAGCATACTGTTGTGTGGGTGACTTTTTCTCAAAATCAAATTGTATTCATTGGAGACATCCCTTTAATTAACTTCCCCAATTCCATAGGGAGAGGGATATGAAGAAAGATGGTAGTAACAGCAATAATAATAATAATAACAGCGACGTATCTTATTACTTGGTACATATTAAAGTAAAATAAAATGCTGCAGGAGGTGGAATTCCAAGACCTCTGTTTTTAATGAAGATCTTAATAGCATCTAATGTAAATTAAATATAATCACAGTCTGGTTTCTGAACATGTCTCTGAGGCTGAAGCATAGTAAGTTAATTATGCTGACAACACAGCAGCAAGTAAAGAAGTCAAGTAGCAACATGTTGGTAACTGGGTTGAAGATGGAGAAGGGATCCATTTTTGTTTTCTTTTTCTTTTCTTTTCCTTTTGTTTCCCCCTTCCTCTTTCTTTTTTTTTTTTTTTTTTTCATTTTGCGGTGGCTTTTTCTTCCCCGAGGCAGATAAGTGAAGGATGGTATCCAAGTGAATAGCTGATGTACGGCACTCATTTATTATATAATGTGCGTTAAATCACATTTGCATTGGAATTTAAACCAAGAGACATTTTACTTAAGAAAATGGGGAGAAATGAATGCAGAAAGTTGGCAAGGTATTTTATCATGTGGATATGGATTGCTGACATTGATCTTTCCAGCTCGTTCTGTGGCTAGATAATATAATGAGGTAAGAAAGAAAGAAAAGATGGACTGGGCATCAACTTGTGTTGTGTGTTTTATATCATGTTAAAAGGAATTGCTTGTCACAAGGCTCAATCTTTGAACTGTTACTCATGAAGTCCTGCACTCAGCCAGATGACTCATGTGAGTAAGGACAGTGGGATCGGTCTATTAAGTTGGCATTCCTGTGACAATGACCGAGAGTGACATCCCCAGGTCCGTGCCCTGCTGTGACATTTCCGAACAATTTGCATTTGGTAGGAGGTGATACCTCCTCTCTGGAATTAAACATGAAGGAATTAATCAGCCAATGCAATAGAACCTGGAAATGCAAATAAATGAAGATGCCTTTATTTAGCTGAAGGGAACAGAGAGTAACCGAATCTGTGACTCAACCAAGCCATTAAATACCTGCCTGTATCTTAGGCGCTTTTTAATTTGTTCGGCCTTTGTGGTGATAAAGCAGTTTCTTCTTCTGTAAAGTCTGGCTCGGTCTTTAATGTGCATCTGAAGTGCTTCTCGATGGCTCCGGAGATTCTGTCTTCATGGTACGCTAAGTTTTCATTTATAGGGTTGTTAGGTGCAATACATAAAATCACCATGTTTTTTATTACAGACAGCTGTCCCACCTGTGCTAGCTAGTTGGAGATCTTGGAGTTTTTGCTATAAGCAGATGGGGACTGAAGAGGTTTGCTGCAGAGGTGAATGCAGCAGCCAGTTCTGCGCACCACGTGCCTGGGGCTCGGTGTACCCTGTGCCTGTGGTCGGACCGCACCTGTGGTGTTGATAGGCGCATGTGTGTACTCTTGGATGATACAACAGGCCTATAAAAGGAGCAGGCTAACTGGCAGAGGACTGAAAAGACTTGGGGGTGTGGGCTGAGAATCGACAGTCGGCAAAAAGGTGGTCCTCTCAATGTACTTGGGCAGGCTCAAAGAGCAGGCAAGAAAAAAAGTAGAAATTACAGGAGAGTCAGGGAGGCAGCACTGCTCTGTCAGCCGAGCCCTGGAAGAGGATGTAGGAGTGGGAAGGCAAATGCCTTGATTACAAGTGAAAAAGCACCAGGGGGGAGATCACTGCTTACTTTGGAGACACCTTTGTTCCTGGAAAAACTTTACGTGCAAGGGAGCAGGGGAGGAGGAAGGCAGCTGCATTTTTTCCAAGCAGGAGATGCTAAAAGGGCTCGTGCGAGTCTTTGGAAGAGCAGGATGGGATTGTGGTTGCAGAACAAGAGTATTAGTCAGATGGTGGCACCAAAATGCCCCGTTACGCATGAGCCTCTGAGATGGAGGGGACCATGTGTGCTGTTTTTGCTTTAAATACAAACTACAGTCCATTAATGTCAGGACCAGCTTATTCGGTGAGACGGTTGCCAGTTAAGTGATTCTCTGTCACGAGCTCCCTCACTGTGCCACGGATGTAATACAGACTGCGTTTCTGAAGTGGCGAGAACATTGCTTTCTCTAGATGTTTTGGGAACCTCTGCTACTTCTCTTCAAACACCACCACATTTTTTTTTCCCTTTTGCTTTAAGCCGGGTAGAGAAGAGGGGGACTTGTAGTTCTGCAGGGAATAGTTTGGCTTGGTAATGACTTCTAAAGTTGTCTGTTGATGTGCTGTGCATGGGCTCAGGTAGTTTCCCAATATTTCTGGGATGTTAAATAACTCGTAAGGGATGGGACACCTGTTTTTAAGAGTCATCCTAGCTACATATAATTGATGCACTTGGCTTGCATGCTTCTGCCCAGCTTTTTAACAAACGTCATCCTTCCAGCAGGGATGTGCAGCATGATGAGTTGGGAGTTCACATCTCCCTGACGAAAGGCATGGTGCATTTAGATGGTGATAAGTTCAGACCTAGACTTTCACCAGAGCTTCTCGGGTTGGGCTGGGCTGCTCTGCTCTCGGCATAGGTGGCTTTCCCATGACCTGAGCCATCGCTGTAGGCATCCTGCCTCTGCTTTGCATGGCACTGAGCACATTGTCGATCCTCAGCACCTCAAAACATAAGTCTGAAACCTGGCCCAAGAGACAAACACACACGGTGCACCCAAGGGAGGATTCTTGCTTCCTGCTAACCAGATCAGCTACCTTTTATGAGCATTACGCCTTGCCACTGCCACTGTCCGTTTAGCGTTAAACCACCACTAAGGCAGGGATAGCAGGGAGTGGACGACCCTAGGTTTTGAGCGTTGATTTGCCCTGGTCACCATCTGCAGCCTGCTACATAATCTGATCTTTTAGGTCCTCTCTCTCCCTGTCAGTCTCAAGCGTCAGCAAGGGAAGTAAAGGTTAGATATTTGGAAAAAAAAATTCTCATGAGGAGGGAAGTAAAACACTGGAACAGGTTACCCAGAGAGGTGGTATAATCTCCATCCTTGGAGGTGTTTAAGACCCAGCTCATCCAAGCCTTGCCTGGGATGATGTAGCTGGGGCTGGTCCTGCTTTGAGCAGGGGGTTGGACTAGATGTGACCTCGTGAGGTCCCTTAAACCTCATTTTTTATGGCTGTATGTTACTTTTCCCCTTTTTCCTTTTTCTTGTGGCCTCCCCTTTTCCCTGGTGACCACTGTTTCCGTTGTGTCTCTCCCCGCCTGAATGCCACCATTGATTATCTGTGTGCCGTTCCTTATTAAAACAGAGATCCAAACCCATTTTGTCTACTTGACAACCGCAGTGACCTTTCAGCCACAACCCCTCCAGCATTTACTGGTTCTTACTTTGTGCTGCTCCTGCTTCTGCTGAACACACCCACCCCCTCCTCATCCTATAGCTCTTCCATCACCATAGCTGGTATTTTTTGCTGTTTGTTTATAACTTCTCTGTGGCAAAAGAGTGAAATGGGTGGCTCATTATATATATATTTATATATTGGCTCATTATATATATATTTATATTTTTTTTTTCCCTCTACAGGCATGAGACTCAGCAGGAGACCAATAAAACCATCACTACCAGCACCAAAGCTATCAAGCAGCTGTCTGAGGTTGTCAGAGGCTCATCCAGGGTATGTGCCCTTTGAGATGCCGTCTAGATTGAAAGTTGGGTTCGTAAAAGCAAGTGTCCTAAAGCTGCTGAGCTCAGCGTCTCTCTAATTCCCTTTATTCTGTTACAATGGCAGTATTCAACCGCGCGCTGCCTCTGCAAATTGGCAAAGCAGATGCCGGGACCACTTTAGTTGGGGGAAAAAATGCTTTCTCTTGAGGTTAATTCCATGAGATCCAACCTGTAGTACAGTGAAATCCCCGCTCTGTCGTAGCATGTGCTTAAGTTCAACAAGCAGCCTGGAACGAGCGGGTGAAAGCAACCGCAGGCGATTTGGGGAATATAATATCCATTGAACAGTCAAGTAGTACATCGGTTACAAATGAGTAAAAAATCAGGTGAAAACACACCTAAGCGGCCAAGCAGTGTAATTCATGTGGATATGGAATTCATTCAGCGCCACATGCGGGTCATTTCAATACTGAGAGGCAGAAATGGAGGGAGGCAATTGCAGGAGGGGGAAAGTTACAGCAAGGACATTGCTATTATTATATATATAACAGCAGGTTCGGCTTTTATCTGGGGCGAAGCCTGCTCCTAATGTGTGCAGGTGCAGTTCCTGTTGACTTCAGCCAAATACGTTTGAATTGCACCCCCGCTGACAGCCGAGCGGGTTCTAGTAATTTCCTGTTTTTCTCCCATGTCCAATCAATTTGCTTCGCATCTGTAACCTACTACCCCAAATCCTACCAAGATCCAGGATTAGTGCGTCTGGAGAAGAGCAGACTGAGGGGAGATTTGAGAACAGTCTTCAAATACCTGACGGGCGCTGGGAGAGAGGATGGGGGTGGGCTTTTCTCTGTGACCATACGAGCAAGACTAGGCATAATGGCCTTACATTACATCAGAGAAAATTTTAGGTTAGAGATTAGGGCTTTCTCACTATGAGAGCAGCTAAGCATTGAAACAGGCTGCCTAGAGGCGTTGTGGACGCTCGATCCCTGGAAATGTTCGAGAGCAGGTTAGATTGACCCTTGGCTGGGATGGTTGAGTCAGGGCTGATACTGCCTTGAACAACGGGCCGGGCTAGATGACTTCATGACGTTCGTTCCAGCCCTATTTTCCTATGATATGTCCCTGCCCATTGCATGCTCATTGAGGATGGGCTAGGGTTTATACTCTGCACAACATTGCAAGCAGAAGCAATGTGAGTGAGAGCTCTCTGCCTTGCCCGGGATAACGGGTTGATCCAGTAGATGAGCGAAGAATACAGGTCTCTCAGCTCTGTACTTGCTCTGCTGGATTTAGGAACCATACTTCTGTACTGGATATTATCTTGGAACTTCCCATTGTTTTTGCAAGATCAGTTTTCACCCTCTTCCTTCCTTCCTTTAGGAGCAGAATTCCTTCAATTCCCTTCCTCCTTCCCTCCGTGGGTATGCTCAGCTGCTTTTCTTCAAGGTTTCCCAAAACACTTCATTCTCATTCTTTTGTCCTCCATCCTGGCTTCCACCCCCGACCCTAAAATCCCTCTTCTTGCCATCCTCTCAAATTCCACCTTTCCTGCCTTCCTAGATGCAACTCCACTGCCCCTTCATTTAGGATGAACATGAGATAAGTTGCATAGAGAAGGCTCTCTCCACGTAGCCCTTAACAGCCCAAAGCTATGTCAGCGTGAGACCTTACATTGTGCTATACTTGCTGTTTCTTCTCCCTTCTCTGTGTTTAAACAGTAGTAAAAAAATAAATACATGAATAAGTTTTAAAAGGTGGAGGTAGCGGCAAAGGGAAAGTCTAGTGAAGGCTACGGCAGTCTTGCAGAGTCAATGAACGGAAGAGGTGTTTGAATGATCAACTCAAAGCCAAAAGAAATAAATCAAAAGATAGCTCATGGCTTTATAGAGATGTGATGACCTGGCCATTTCTCCATATCCCCCAGTTATTTCATGCAACACAAATTGGGTCCAAAGGGAAGTCAGATAAGGCTAGGTGAAAAGTAATTATGGCCTTACCCTTGGATGTTGTTCTCAGCTTTAGCAAAGTTGAGTAGAGGCTGTGATCAGAATGGGTTTCACTGTAGGAGAGGGAAGAGGTTTTGTTTTTTTTTGGTGTTTTGGCTTTTGTACAAATACAGTACATTTAAGAGCAGAAGGGAGAAGAAGATGCAAACACTTATGATAATCTGAGAAATAAATTTGCAGCTCTCTTTTTGATATCACATAATAACTTCTCCCACTCTGTGGTCAGTTAATTTAATGGGGGGGTTGTTTGGTTTTTGTTTTTTTTTTACTTTTCCTTTGTAACAGTGTATAGCTTAAATAATTAAACCTACACATTTTGATGTAAAATCTGTAGCCTTTCTCCCTTATAAAATGAATGACTCAGATGGGTATTTGTGGCTGGGTGTCTAAGTCCCTCTGGGGGCTCTGTGGATAGTGTTCACATAAAGTTTCCTGTACCATGAGAAACCTTCCATTGATTTAAAGCTTTATATCCAGTCCCTTCCAATCCATTATTCTGTGTTCTGCTGTGTACAAACAAAGGAGAGGTTTTTTACTTTCCGACAGTGATGTACAGCTAGCCAGGTGCATTATGGGATTTTTACCCATCTTGCATTGAAGCATCAGGTGTCTGCTAGACTTTTTGGAGATGGGATGCTCAACTGAATAAATTAATAATATGCCTGGAACAAAGGCACTGGCATGAGAGGAGGCAGAGTCTTGGCTTAGATGGACTCACGCAGCAAGGCTGACTCTCAAACTAGCATTAAGGTCTTGCACAGCAAAGCCTTTGTATAATACAAAGCCAGTCTTGCATTCTTCAAGGGTTTTTGTAGTAGCGGAGGTGAGGTTTGAATAGTCCCATGACAGGGAGCCTGAAGCAGGGACCACGTATTGATTTGTGTGTGTAATGCAATACCGAAAGTAGTGGAGCTTTACATATAAAATGGTAATGGCAGTATAGGAAATCAGAGAAAAATAGGACTGGAAGAGACCCCCGGAAGTCTTCTTGCCCAACCCTCTACTTCAGGCAGGATCACCCTTGTCTGAACTGAGCCATACAAATGTTTGCCTAACCTGCCTTTAGGGACTTCCCGTGACACAAAGTCCACACCCTCTCTCTGTGATCCATCCCAGTGCCTAACTGGATATCTACCCTCCTATATCTACCCTTAATCTCCCTTCTTGCAGTATCATCCCATGACTTCTTGCCCTGTCCCTTGTAGACACAGAAAACGATTGACCTCTATCTTCTTTATAACGACCCTTTTCTGTATTTGAAGGCTGTTCTCAAAGCCTCCCGCAGTCTTTTCTTCTCCAAAATAAATACGTGCAAGCGTGTAAGTGAGCTGGTGCTTTGTAGGTAATAAACCTGGCCGAGCTTTTGCAGAGGTAAGAACTGACCACAAACTCACCCCCCCCTTTACATAGCGTGTTTTCTAGACTTATCATTTTTGTTGCTCTCCTGGATCTCTACAAATATTTCATGTCTGTCTTGGAAGTGCAGAGGTATTGCAGAGAGGTATCCATTGTGCCTGACTCCAGGGTGACATGTACACCAGGAGGACAAGTTAGGTCTGGAACAGAAGTTCCATAAACTGGTTTGACTTAAAGCAGTTAAGTCTGATACTGCGTGCAACCATGTTTATCTTAAACCAGTTTCAGCTTTTTTTTAAGTGGTTGATGTGCACTGAATTTCTGGTCTGTTCCAGGTTTAAACTGATCTCTGATCACTTAAACCGGTTTATGTGTAACTTCTGCCCCCAGCCTTAGAGACTAACTGGCTCAGCAGAGAGGCATGAGATTTCAACCTGCTTTCTCACATGCTAGGAATGGACTGGCCAGGTTGTTGGTGGTTGTCTCTTGCCTACAAAAGCTGGTTCCCTGAACCAGTTAGTCTCTAAGGTGCCACCCTGCCCTCCCTTCTGACTTCCTTGAAATGAGGTACCTCAAACCAGTCATGACTTGAGACGGGGCCCCATCAGCACTGAATAGAGTAGCAAAGTCACTTTTTATAACTCACCTATGACATCTGTTCGTACATCCCAATGTACTGTTCACTTTTCTCTAACGATAATGTCCGATTGACTCCTGTAGTCGGCGGTCCAGTGTATCATCAAGTCCTCTCTGTGGTCCTGTAGCCCAGTCGGTCATTCCTCATTTTGCATTTGCGCATGTGATGGTTCTGTCCGGAGTGTAGCACTTTGCGTTTTCCCTGATTGAATTTCATCTGATTTATTGTAGTGTTTTTCCTCCCTGTTCTCTCTTGCCCACTGCACTTCTCTGTGCATAAGCGTGCTGTCAGCCTTTGCTGTTGGTGTTGGTATGTGCCGTGCGTGTTTCCTTGGAGACCTCGATGCCGCATAAAGAATTAACCACAAGGATGCGTTTGTGGTCAGTTCTTACCTCTGCAAAAGCTCAGCCAGGTTTATTACCTACAAAGCACGAGCTCATTAACATGCTTGTCCAGAGGGCTACGAGATGTTAGTTCTGAGTCCTTATGATAAGGCAAAGGCATAAATCCTAATTGCTTGTGGCCCCCAAAACCTCATGGAAAGTCCCAAAACATTGCAGTCCTTCTTATACCTGGATCAAGCAGTGCTTTTTACACCAGGTATTTATGTAACAAACCAACCGAATGACTCTAATCCTTCGGTGTGTTCAAGACTCTTTGATACCACCCTTATCCGTCGACCTTAAGGATCCACTTAAACACTCCTGCTGTCTATCACCAGTGGCCCGGTGATGCCAGCCAGCTTTTGAGGCCTGCTTTGCTCAGTGTTTTTAGCAAAGTCTTTATAAAAAGCCCCCTGCACCATGGGACAGGACTAGATGACCTTGTGAGGTCCCTTCCCGCTCTGCTTTCCTATGATGCTATATCAACTGGTCAGTGCTTATATTAATCAGTACTCCAGTCAGGCCTACTCAGACCTTTTCTTTTTCTTTTTTTTTTCCTAATGCATCCTATTTTGAATCTTAATCTTGTTCTCCAGCGTGCCTGCTGCCCCACCTAGCTTAGACTCATCCACAGATTTAATGAGGGGCTGCTCCGTTCCACTGACTGAGTCATTAATGAAGATATCGAACGGTACTGGATGCAGAGCAAGTCCCCGGGTGACTGGCACATCCTCCCAGTATGACATTAAGTCATTAATGGCTTCTTTTTGAACATGATTATCCAACTAATAATGGACTCACCCTTCAGTAATTTCATCTAGATCTTATTTCCTTATTTTCCTGATGAGAACATTGTGGGAGCCGGTGCCAAAAGCCTAACCAAAGTCAAGGCATGTCATATCCGATGCTTTCCCCATCCACAAAGCTCATCAACTTGTTATAGAAGGGCATTAGGTTGGTTAGGTATGAGTTACTCCTGACAAAACCATGTAATATCATAGACAATGAGGGTGGGAAGGGACCTCAGGAGGTCACATCTAGTCTAACCCCCTGCGGGACCAGCCCCGACTACATCAAGCCTTTGCCTACAAGGGTCTTAAAAAGTGCCAAGGATGGAGATCGTTTCTTATCACATTGTAATACTTAAGGTGTTTATAAATCAAATGTTTGATGGTTGCTTCTAGTATCATTTCGCTTCGAGGAACAAGCATTTGGTCGCATTAAACTTGAATGCAGGGGAGATGTAGCCAGGTGGGAGGAAACTCTACAACCTGTTGTTAGTTTGAGCAAAGCATTCCCTGTACCTTGTCCTAAATTTGGTCAGGTGTGAGCTGGGGCCTGTCTCCTGCTGGAATGAATTCCAGGCAAGAAGACTTGCTGCTGAGCCTGCCGTCTTCCCCTGGACCTTAATCAATGTTGAGAAAATTGGCCTCTAATAAGTTGGCCTCTCTCTTTGTCCACAAGCCAGGGAGAATGAATATTATTACTAATGGCCCGATGAGCCTGGGCCTCTGAAGTGCAGAAAGCATCATCTGGATGAAAGGATTAAATTAATCATTTGATGTCATTTTAAATCAAGTCTGTTGGATGGGAACGTATCCCCGGGATTACTACCTCCTGCTTTAAATATAGAACTGTGTTTGTGTCAGTCTTGCCCTTTATATTTAATAGTAGCAGGAGACCCAGCTACACGCGTTCTCTCCCTTTGGTGACATCTGTTCAATAGATTTGTTGTTGATTAAATAAATGCCTGGATTAAAAATTGTGGTCAGGAGTATTATGCAGTAATGCACTTGCTTTTAGGTATGAAGTCTACCTGTAGCATTGCACCATCTTCTGTCTGTTTGTTGTATAATGACACAAAGAGAATGCTTTCTATGGCTGTATTTTTCTTTTAAGGTTCAGGCCAATTACTGCACTTTCCTAATAAAAATGGAATAGCATCATTAATAATAATAACAACCTGGAGGTTTGTAACACACACAGAAAATGTATTTCTTGAACGATGCCTCAACTTCAGCATTGGCAGGTTAATACCGTTTACTGTGGTCAAATCACAAATGGGAAAAAGAAAGCTATTTTTGGAAATTTGCATTAAACTACATTAGGGGTTCTCAACCTTTAGCCTGTGGGCCAGATCCAGCGCATGGTGCTGTGTCATTCAGCCCATAGGACTCCTCTGGGTCCTGAAATTTGGTGGTAGGGGAGTGCTGCCAAGTCTCTGGATCCATGCAGAGCCCCAGGACCTCTGTACTGGATCTGGCACCTGATCCCAGGGTGCAGGGCCTTTGGTGGTCTGGAGATTGGGGAAGGGGCTGTGGCACCAGGCCCCTGACATGCGGGGGGCAGGAGGGGATGGGGCTGACCCCCAGGACCCAATCCTGCTATGTGAACAGAGAGAATGGACAGTGCTAGGACCCCCAGGACCCAATCCTGGGACACACAAGATGGAAAGGGATGGTGCTGGGCCTGGAGGCCCCAATCCTGGTGCACAGGTGGTGGGAGAGGGCAGTGTCAGGTGCCTAGGGCCTGATCTGGCCTGTAGACAGGCTCCGTACCAATCATCCAGCCCACGAGGCCAACAAGTTGAGCACAACTGAACTGCACAGTCACCCAATAGTAACGTTTGCATGCTGCAGAACAGGCATGTGCTGAATACCTTATTACACAAGTACCAGTGCAATGTGTCCCTTACTGTATCCGTCTCATGCTGTCTGTCAGACCGTCCATGGTATCAAATGGATCAACACAGGGGTTCTTTACTCAGGTTTTACCTTGTGCTTCCTTGAGCAAAGCTCCCATCGACATCAGAGGGAGTTTGCCTTAGGCTAGGTCCATGCTAGAAAAGGTTTCCCGGGTTTGCTATACCGGCAAGAAGCTCCCCTAGCATATAGTTTTTGGGGCAAGAGATGGTCTGGTTTTTTGTTTTTCCTTATGCTGCTTCCTCAAGAAAAATACATGATTCCAGCAAAGGCAAAGACATCATCAAGCCCGCATGCCTAATGCGTATTACTGGACCACCAAAATTTTCTATTGTTAGATCTGGCCTCAGTCTTTTAGGCCATGTACTACGAACCCCACTTTCATAGTTTCTAGGATCGGAAGGGACCTGAGCAGATCATCAAGTCCGACCCCCTGCCATGGCAGGAAAGAGCACTGGGGTCAAACGACCCCGGCAAGGTGACTGTCCAGCCTCCTCTTAAAGCCCCCCAGGGTAGGAGCCAGCACCACTTCGCTTGGAAGTTGGTTCCAGATCCTAGCCGCCCTGACCGTGAAGTTGCGCCTCCTGATGTCTAGTCTGAATCTCCCCTCTGCCAGCTTGTGACCGTTATTCCTGGTCACTCCTGGGAGTGCTGGGAGGAACAGGGACTCCGCCAATGTCTGCTGGTCCCCCCTGACTAGTTTGTAACAGGCCACAAGATCCCCCCTCAGCCTTCTCGTGTGGAGGCTGAACAGGTTCAGGTCCCATCGCCTCTCCTCGTAGGGCCTGCCCTGCTGCCCCCTGATCATGCGAGTGGCCTCCTCTGGACCCTCTTGATGCTGTCCACATCCCTCTTGAAGTGCGGTGCCCAGAACTAGACGCAGTACTCCAGCTGCGGCCTGACCAGTGCCGCACAGAGGGGGAGGATCACCTCCTTGGACCTGCTCGAGATGCATCTGTGGATGCAGGACAAGGTGCGGTTGGCCTTCCTGACCGCGTCCCCACATTGCCGACCCATGTTCATCTTGGCATAAACGATGACTCCCAGATCCTTTTCTGCCTCTGTACTTTGATGTGCACTGTAGAAATTAGGGTTGGTTAAGTGAAGTCCTCTGGGTTGTTTCTTAGGTATTGTCTCTGGTATGTAGTCAGGTGTACTTCTGTGTCCAGCAGCAAAACTTCTGGCGCTTCCCCTGGAAGTATTTCTCACCAGGAGCCTGCATAATCTAAGCGCAGCCGGTCCCGTTTGGCACGTGAATGGGAGACGACAGTGAATTTGTGAAAGCTAGATGATGGCAGAGGCTTGTTCTCAGAGCTAGGTTTTAGGCAGGGTGTTTCAATAACATGCAACTACATAAGCTGGATTGCTGCTTAGTATTCAAATGCACTCCATCAAAAAGGCAAAGACAAGTACTATCCATGTTTGTAGTGCAGTGGAGACCTAGTGAATCCCATTCCTCATGTCCCTGCACTGGAGAGCTTGCAGCCTGCCTAAACCAGACAGACACCTAGGGAATGGGAAGGGGAAGCAGAGAGTGGCAAAGTGACATGACCGAGGTCACTCGGTAGATCAGTGACAGGTGCTCAATCTTTTCAGGATTCTTTCCATGGCTTGTACAGCTACATGGGAATCTTCTGTAGTGCCAAGCACTGTAGTTGCCTACCCTTTTCAACATAGCCTCTTCTCCAGTCCCAGGAGGGTGCCCGTGTAGGCCAGAAAACAGCTAGCCAAGTTTGAGTGTGACCGCAAAAAGAAGTATGCCATGGGGCCTTTATTATTCATTTTCATTATACTAGAAACTAGAAGCCAACCGTGCACCCCCCCCTTGTTTTCATGCATGTTGTGCAAGCCATGTCTCCAAAGCGAAGAAGTCTAAGTATAGATCCTCCGGTTATTAGGGTTTCATGTTTACTTTCGAGGTAGCTCCTTGGGAATTGTTCAGCTAATTTGAGGATAACGTTTCCCCCCTACTCGGTCACCAAGACGGCTTCCTGTAATCCTTGCTAAATTGGTTCAGATATTGAATAGGTCTAATGCTGCTGAGATCAGGCAGAACCACAGCCCAAGGGCAAACACAGCTTCTACTTCCTGCAGTTTGCAAATGTTGATTTCTTTCTTTACTTTTGCCTTTTCGGTACAGCAAGAGCGGCTTCAGCTGGACAGGTTGAAGAACCAGCTGTCAGATGCCATCCAACGATACGGAGCTGTACAAAAGGTAGGAGGACGCTTAGCCTGCCTTTCCCTTTGTGATGTGCGCACTTGGGAGGATGTTGACCAGGGCAACTGTGGGCTCTGCTCTGAATCAGACCCACAGTTACTGATTTTTATATAAGTGGAATTGAGAGATTTGGGGATTTTTATTGGTCTCATTTTATTTTTAGGAAACCTTCCCCCCACCCTCGCCATAATTATTTCCACTTATAATTAAGCTTTATTACACCTGACAGTGAAAGTAAGCTGGTAAAACCCCATTTGGGTTTGGGGTTTTTTTGTTTTGTTTTGTTGGGTGTTTTTTAGAGCCACATTTGGGTTTTCAACATTGGGAGGTCGTGTCTTATATATTATACCATATCAGATATCGTATCATATTACATCAAATCATATCCTTTAGTTTTCATTTCCTTCACACAGCTGGCATGGCATAAATGTCATGCCATTGCATTATGTCTGTTGGCTGTCTGTCATGTTAAAACAGAAGTCTTTTCCTTTTTTTTTTGTGCCTCGGGGTTGAGCACACTTTGGAGCACACTCCATCTGCATTGGGCATGTGACTTTGGATTTTATAAAAAAGTGCCAAAATTAGCCATCGCATTTTGTGAATGCCCGGTTGCATCAGGAAGCTGATCTGAATGGCAAATTGCTACTTAACCCACGTCCTGGCTGTCATTCCTTAAGTGCACGTTTTGGTTCTGATAACCTTGTCATGCTTGAAGTTTAAAAGACTTGTAATTTCGGAAGGCTTAACTTCAAGGCCAGTTTTTTCTCTTTACTAAATTACAGGGTTATTTTACTTTCCTATGCATGTATTTTAATTCAATGTGAATGAGCAATGTTTAAGACTACTGCTATATTTTCCCCCAAGTATTTGACCCCTGTTTCCTCCCCCTCTTTCCTTTTTTTCTTTTTTTCTATTACAGAAAATAGCAGAGAAGTCCAAATCTTTGCTTCCCACGGGGCAGAGAAGCAGTAAACAGGTAGGTGTGTGTGTTCAACCTTTGGAGCAGCACATATGAAGAAGGCAGTCTCTCATCCCCTTACTGATGCTGAATGGCGCCTTATTCCCCAAAAAGCCCTCTCATTGAAATCCAAGAGATCGTGCTGTTTGTGTGCCGTTGGGAAGCATGCAGCGCCCTTGGCAGATGGCAACGTTCACAGACTCCTAAAAATAGACAAGTAGAAGATGCGCCAGGTTATCTTGTTCATTCCCCCACCGACACCGAACAGCTCCTCACTGCCTGCTTTCGACTTGCCTGTCCACTCCAGAGTGTCTCCAGGAGTGTTTTCATCCCCATCCCTGTCCTTTGGCCCTTCCTTAGGTTATTTTACAATCTAATCAATTGTACGCATACCTGACACTGAATCTCAGACCTCTAAGGGGTAGTCGCTCGTTCCTCATTATGTAGCCACGATACTTACTGCTTTATATTAATACACACGCACAAAAAGAGCCTGCCCCCAGCTCTAGGAGCTTTGATACCGTATTAAACATTTAGCACCTGGCAAAGTAGGCTGTGGCTTACGAAAGCTTGTGCCTCAATGAATGACGAGGTTTATAAAGTGCCATCCAGCCCCGCCTCCTGCTTAAACATAATGCACTAAAAATAACAAAATCACGGCAGATCCCAAGGAATGTCTCTGATGCTAGGAGCTCAATCCATCCTTGGTATAACTTCATTAGCTGCATTAAAAGATTAACCAGGCCCTCGGATCCTACATGGCAGCATTCAAACTAGGACTTATAATTGATATTGGACGACAGAAGCACTGAACTGCCCTCTTAGCATCAGTGCATATATTTGAAAATGGTAACCTACATTTTCCTTTTAGGGGCTCTTAGGAAAGATCCCAGTATGCTTGTGAGTCCCTGTGTCTTTACTAGTCTACATCTCTTGCCGTTCGGTCCTACCTGTGTCCTAACTGCTCCTTACACCGATGGCATTGATGCTTCTCATTAAGAAGTTCTTGTTCAGGCATTAGCGTCAAGTTGCAAACGGTCCTGCAAATAAGGCAGAAAGCAAAAATGTGCGCCAGAAATCTGTTTTAATTGCCAGGATTTCAATTATTAAGACTCCGTGTCTGACTTCATCGTGACTTACTTCGTGTTGGGGTACTTCTTTAATACCAAATCAAGTTGCCTCATTAAATGTTTGCATTGGTGGCCTGGAGCTTGCAGAGGATCTACTATATTTACTCGATTCTAAGATGAGGTTTTCCACACCCCCTCCCATTTAACATGGGAGGGAGAAGTCCCTTGTCTTAGAAATTAGTAGGGGGTAGTGTGGGGACAGGTGGCCGCTGTGGGTTGGGTTCTTGCCCCTATTCAGGGTTGGGGCATAACAGCAGCTGCTTCTTCCCCACCCCCCCACTCAGCCCATCTACCTGAAGCCTCTTCTCCCTCCTCCTCCCCATCCTCTACCCCCCTTCCCTTTTGCTTTGTGCCAGCAGACTTCATCCACAGTGCATGCTAAGGCACTGAATACGATCCCAGCCTGCACCCATAGCAGTGGCCTGCAGCTTGCACTGCTGCTATGAGGACTGGGCTGAGGCCATGCTCAGTGCCCTGGGCTAGAACGGGGACAGAGTCTGCTGGCACGGAGCAAGGGTAATGGCGGGGGGCGAGGGGGGATGTGGGTAGCAGAGGCTGGGGCGATGGGGAAGGGAGAGCAGAGGCAGGGGGGGAGGAAGGAGAGGGAGCAGAGGCTTGTGGGGGCAGCAGGGGGAAGAAATAGCAGGGGACAGGCACAAGCTGGGAGCAAGCTGCTTGACCTCCCCTGCAGCGGTGGGGAAGATGAATTAAAGACAATCCTCCAATAATTAAATTCTATACATGGACAATTATAATAAATTTATAAATTGTCCATGTATAGAATCTAATTGTCAGCAGGTCCTCTTGAATTCAAGGTCATCTTAGATTTGAATAAATATGGTAGACTACTGTTGCTGTTCTGGTAGATGGTTGTTTCTGCGGGGTGCATTTTTCCCTCCTTATTCCCCAACAAGTGGTGGTAGATAATGAATGATTATTTTTGGCCACAGATGGCATATTCTTATATGTAATTTAGCCAGATTCTGATGACACTGAAGTCAGTGCACAAACTTCCATCATTTTCATTAGGCAATCGGATTGATTCACTGTGACTATAGATGAGGTGGCATGCAAGGTCCTGATTTAAAAAGTTGGGCAAATCTGTCACAGATGATCATAGCTGGAGGATGTAGGAGGAGGAATTTTCTAGGAACAACTAATATTGTAGGAATAAATTAAATATTAAAGGAACACATCTTATAGGAACACATTTTAAATTCTCATAATTAAACCATAATGGGATTCCAAGGGAAGGAGGAACAATATGGAGACCAGAAGAGTCTAGCTAGTTTGCATTGCCCTGAGTAAATGAAAAAGAAAACAGTGTTTAACATGTTTTTAACCTGTTGTTTTAGGCAATGAATAGCCACTGGAATGGAGTATACATAATCAAGAATTTTCTCCCACTACTTTTTTGGTTTGTTTTTTTGGAAAGCATTGATTGTAAAGCTCAAAACTTTTCATGAGTATGCATCAGCTTCAACAGAGTTTTTGCTGGGAAAGGGAACTCAGATCCAGGCTGGAGTTCATGTTAAAAATGGAAGTGCATGTGTTGTGTTACACACGACTTTAAAGTGGCTAATATGTTGATGGTCAGGGCACTTCCCTGGTCCAAATACCTTATCGGGTTCTTATAGAGCTGGAAGGGACTGAACTAAGTTTTCTGTAGCTGCAAGTTGCTTTTCTTCACATTTTACATATGAAAGCTTAATGTTAGTGACTTCTTTCTTCTCTGCATATGACAGGTGGTATTAAAATCTCTTCTTTCTTTGTAGGAATCAGTATCTGTGAGGCCCGTGACCTCGAGATGTACACACACAAATAATCACTTGCTCATCTTTGGTGCCTGCAATATAGATGTGCATGTGCAAATGGAGATAAACTTACGTGTTTGCTTGTGCAATCCCTGATGTACATGTTCACACCTGGTGCATGTAGATTTTAATGTGCACTAAATGAACAATTTGAGCATCAAGATACAGGAGTTTACATTTCTTTGTGCATATCTGGGTCTGCCAATGCTCCTGCTGTGATGTAAACCCAGAGGTCCTGGCTAGAGCGTCTTGCCCCTCTGCTCAGGGTTAACCAATTGCCAGATTTGGGGACAAGAGGGGTTTTTACCCCATGGTCAGGTTGGTACAGATTGTGGGAGTTGCTGCTTTTTTTCTGTAGTGGGGGGAATATAGTCTTTTTTCTGGGATCTCTCGAGCATACTTTTAACAGCCTTTGCACCGGCAGGATGTTGGCCACTGTGGTTCCCCTGCTTTACCTGCAGCAGGTTAGGGTGTTATGTCTTGTGTTGTCAAGGTCGATTGTGTAGCTTTGCTAAGAGGTTAGCTCAGTGCTTCTCAACCTTTTTAGATTCAAGGCACCCCTAGATAGACTCATGACACTCCTCAGGAAATGTCAGCTCTTAGTTTGCACACTGTTGCTTTTCCTTTTCGACAGAAAAAAAAGTAATGGAGTCATTTTTCTATTGCAAAGAACTGAGAAAGACCACAAGTATTTATTCCTGCTTGAAATCTTTGTGTTTATCTTATGAACCATGTTTGTATGTCAAACGGTGCTGATGCGACGTAGCAGCCTGTGGCACCCTTGATAAGACCTCAAGGCACTCCTTGGTGCCCTGGCTGAGAATCTCTGGGTTAGACGATGGATTTGTATAGGATGGCTTGGATGGGATCCTGTCTCAGGCAGGAGTTTGGACTGGATGGCCTCTTGTGGTCCTTTCCAGCCTCCTTTTTCTATAATGCTGTGTTTGCATTGGGCATCTACCAGCACATGTTTGTTTTCTTCCTCCATAGAATATAAAAAGAAATTTTAAAAATATAGAGTTCGCTGTGGTTAATGTAATCTTGGGATTGATTTTTTTCTCCCATCTGCACGGTGGACAAGAATTCAAAGTTATAATTTCCCACGGCAACTTTAACTATTCCATATTGCACATATATTAAGGCATTCAAGTCAGCACCCTGTACAGTAATACAAAATGCTGCATATATTTGGAGGAGCTGATTTATAGTGGCTGCGAGAACTGCAACGTGAATATCCTTGACCCTGGTACAGGTAAAAGCAGAATCAGGATGCTGGCACAAGGTTTATTTTATTTAATCCTCAGTTAATTATAGCAAGTGTAAACACTGATGAATTTCCTATATATAGTCTCCTTCATATTTTCTCTTGGAAAGTTGTTTTCCTTCAGTAACATAAATTTCGATTACTTTGGGGAATTAACTAATTCCTCCATGATCCCTGGTTTGGGAGGAACAATCACATGCACACATATACAAACTGGCCAGTTGTTCCCCAGTTTGATCTTTCAGAAAAAGGGATTGAGGATCAACCCGTTGAATATGAGTCAACAATGTGCAGTTGTCGGGGAAGGGGGGGGAGAGCTAATACAGTCTAAACAATGTATGGGGGCCTTATTTGGCAATCAGAAAGTAGTCCAATCTGCAGTGTGTGTAATTAAACCTTCTAAACTTTGTCTCCTAACTCAACCTCTGTCAGCGCAGGACTATTAGTAGCCATAAAATTGGCCAATTACAAGGCTGATGTTGGAGAAGAGGCATTCTGCTTAACAAAGTAAGACACCTCAATGAGGTGTGAACAGCTGAGAAGAAGCTGATGGGACTCTCAGAGGAACATGATGACAACTATTAATGAGGTGTGGAAATCTGAGAGAGTTTGTTCCTAGATGCATTTGCATCTGCCTACATGACAGTCTGATTCAGGCAAATGGCTGGCGGTGTTTTCATGATTTATAGGACTTGCTGCCTTACCTGCTTGTACAGTGGCATACTGGGAGGTATTACCAGGAGTGTCACAAGAATCGATTCTTCTTCTCTTTTCAGTATTGGTGAGAGTGCATCTTGGCATGCTCTATCC